AAGAAGAGAGAGAGAACAAGGGGGAATACCCTGCCACAGAGGCAGGATGGGACGGGGGGGGGATGGGGGTCGGGGGGGATGCTGGGACCCGTGGTGATGGATGACGGGCACTGGTGGAGGGATGGGCACTTGATCATTGTATAACTGAAACCCAAGCACAAAATTTGTAAGCCTGTAACTGTACCTCATGGTGTTTCACTAATAAAAAAAGAAGAAAAAATTTAAAAAAAGAAATACAATGAAAAATAAAAATAATAACAGGATAAAAAAATAGATTGGCGCTTGTCAAGGGGTGGAAAGTGGGTGTAATGAAGAGTGACTATTAATGGATATGGAATTTCTTTGAGATGCTCTGAAATTAGGTAGTTGAGATTTTTTGAACTGTAAATATACCTAACTCCACCACATTTTTTCATTTTAATGGGGAGTTCTGTCATTTGTGAATTATACCTCAATAAAGATCACATTTAAACATAGAAAAAAAATGTCATCACATATTGGGATCCCAGTGTAGAAGTAATAAGCCAGGGGAAAGAGATGGCAGGAAAAGAGAAAATGAAAGCAACTTAAATATTATAATTGTAAAACATATACCTGCAAATAAAAGTAGCATTATATACCAAACCAATAACATAGCAAGTGTAATTCCAGTGGAAACAAAGCACTTAAGTATTTAATATAGTTCTCAGGAGTAACTTTGGGAATAAAGATCCTATCAAGTCTGTACTTTTAAACTTTTTAAATTCAAGCTATTGAACAATACAAAGCTCATTTTTTTCTCCTAAAAATGGGCTTATTTAAGTATTAGTTGAGAGATATCTACTGTAGTAGATAAAATATCTTTTTAAATTATGCCAAGACTCTACTTCACCCCCTAAGTCCTTATTATATTTTTAATATTGCTCACTATCCAGTATTTCTTACTCACTATCCAGGGCAAAAATAACACACGTTTCCAGTGATCAGGTTCTCAGTAAACTATGGATATTCTGTTTCTCTCTCCCTCCCTTTCTCGCCACTGTCTCTCTCTCTTTCCTCTCTCTCTTTCTCTCTCTCTCTCTTTCTCTACATTATATATATATATATATATATATCTATATATATATATAAACTAGACATAGATATATTTAACTGTGGTATGAATTTGGAAACTTTAGTGAGAATTGGTAAAGGTAAAGGTAAAGGCCCTCCCGTTGATCATCGATTTGCTCGAGCAGGCCCAGTAACGTCTCCATTGGAGACTTTGTTGTTACTGTGTCTGGCATATCGAATACGTCACGGGGAGCTTGCCAGGCTCTGCCGTGCAGGCGAGATACTCTCGGTAGCTTGCCAGGCTCTCTGAGAGGGGCGGAGGAATCGAACTCGGGTCAGCCGTGTTGGCTGCTTGTAAGGCGAATGCCCTACCTCTGTGCTATCGCTGAAGCGATAGCACAGCGGTAGGGCATTTGCCTTGCACGCAGTCAACACGGCTGACCCGAGTTCGATTCCTCCACCCCTCTCAGAGAGCCCGGCAAGCTACCGAGAGTATTCGATATGCCAAACACAGTAACAACAAAGTCTCCAATGGAGACGTTACTGGGCCCGCTTGAGCAAATCGACGATCAACGGGAGGGCCTTTACCTTTACCTTAGTGAGAATTGATTTTTAAAACAAACTATCAATTTACCTGGTCCATAAAGATATTTGTCTTTGTATGTTGCAATTCTAAGAATTTTAATCATAATTTGTTCAAAGTAGATTTTTTTCAAGCCTTTTTATTTAGCAAATTGTTTATATGAAATTTTTGTCAAGGAAAAATAAACTCCAAGAACAAATAGCAACAGAAAATTTTAAATTATAATTAATAATTTACATTTATAAATCCCAAATTATGTGAGTGTGTTTCCAATTGCAAATCCTTACCTTGGATTGCTATTCAAGTAAGGGATGAGCATCAATTCAAAATTAAGGTGGAGAAAATATAAAAAATTAAAAGGTGGGTAAACAAATATCTTTAGTTTAAATTCTGTCTTCTATAAGATATGACTGACACAAAGTATGCTGCAGAAAGACTTCAGATATACTGTCTCATCTTGACACTAAATAAATGTGTATCCTTCACTACATGTAAAATCTTCTCCCCATGACATATTATGTTGAGAGCTTGCATAACATAAACTCTTAGTTTCTGAGCACTTTGATTCCTAAGTTCTGAAATGAGTTTATCTTTTCTATTTTTTTAAATTTTTAAATTTTGGGGGGATAGATGAGTGTTCAAGGTTTATTACTGGCTCAAGGTTTATTACTGGCAGTCCTCAAGATAATATAGTGGTGGCAGGGATCAAACCTGGGTCAAGACAAGGATCCTACGTACCATACTATCTCTCAGACCCCAATCTTTCAAAATGACTTTTTCATTAAGAACAGCCCATTGAAATTATGCCACATAAATAAATTGAATTGTCCTCAATCACCATTTTCTGACTTTTTAGTGTTATATATCTAAGTTTAACTATTGTGGTATAAACTTGTCCACATACTAATGGCTCTTCTCTCCCCCTGAACTCATAGAATGCCAACCTTTCTAACCCACTTATATACTGGTTAAGAATTTAGAGCCAGGAGTTAGACCCCAAACCAAAAATAAACCTAGATATAAGATTGGCTAATTAACTGACTTTGTATTTTGACTATTTTGGTTCAGGGTCATCAATATATCTTGATGATGTAGAAACAATTCTAGGAGCTCAGAATTAAGCTTCCATTATTTTTCAAGCATTTATTATTTACTTTTGGTGATAATAATTATTCCTTTGATGACTTTATTCTGGTTATTGACTGCTTGCTACCTAACTGTCTAAAAACAGTAGGTTAAAAACTACTGTTTTCTATTTTGGAACCAGAGAGATAGTATGAGGGTAAGGCACATTCCATTCCTGGCATGAGTCCAACCCTGGTTCAGTCTCTGGTACTGTATACGGTCTTTGAGCACTTCCAGAGGTAATCACTGAGCCCAGAGCCAGGAATAGCCCAAGCACCACAAGGAATAGTCCAACCTCTGCTCTCACGCATCCAAATAAAGGACTACCACTTTAACATATATCATAATCTTGCATGTCAGAAATTCAGCAAGGTCTCACTCAGGTGACTTTTGAGGCCCAGTAAAATTGCCCTGACTCACCCACTGATACTGAGGAAGTGGAAGTTTGAGATGTTCAGTAATTTTCACGAACATGCCTAACATTTTGGCAGAGTCATTGGGGAGCTAGATTAGCCGAAAGCTTTTGTTAATTTTTAGCGCCTTACCATGGGTTTTATCTAGCATGTAGTAAGCATTTCCAAGGTGGGCGAGCACCAAAATTTCAGGACACAAAGGGTCCTGTCTTTTTTAGGCTCATGTCTTACACTTCTACTGTCATTTTTTCCATATTTTGCTGGTTTAAGCTGTTCAAGGAAGCTTTGATTGGAGATGGGGAGGGGTCACAGAGAAGAGAAGTTACATACTGGCTTTTAATGAGAAATCTAATGGGAAAATGGAAAATATTTGGTCACCCTAAATCTACCATAATCTCAGGCCAAAGAGCCACACATACAAATATAAAAGCATAAGTCCAAATCAAACTTAGAAAGCTTAAAACCTGATTTAATTCTACTATTAATAAATTATCAAAATAGTCTAGTTCTAAATAAAAATAATGTTGAGGCAAAAATATGTTTGTATTCTACTCAAGAATGTTAATTGTCGTGAACAAATGAAACATGAAAATTTAATTCTTTGTTTTTATTAAAAATGAATTCAAAATTTAAATCTGCTTATCCTTCAATGTTTATCTTCCTTTTTCTTTCTCTTTTAGAACTTATTTATAAAAAGTTTACTTATGGTCACCTATTTCCATGAAAGAAGAAACTATCACTATTCAACATATCCTAATATATGATAAATTTCCATGTCAAAGAAATAACTAAAGCACTAAAGCCCAATAATGATGTCAAATTACATCTATATAAAAAAGTGAAGGTAAAAAATCTTCAAGTATCTACAACACAGAGACTCCCAATGATTCATGAATTAATAAAAGGACTGTTTTTTATATATTTGTAATATTTCTTTATACTTCCTAAGCTATGGCATGTTTTTAAATTACAAAGAAGTTAATACTATATGAAAAATAAGAAAAATATTTAAGTTTAGAAAAACTACAGTTCTTTTGCAAAATATGCATAAATACATATAGAATAATAAAACAGTATTTTCTTTCTTAAGTCTTTAAATAAATTATATTATTTTCAATCAGAAATAGCTCATTTCTTATTTACTTTCTATAGTGTACTATTAGTATTGATGAATCATACAAAGGGAAAGGATTTATCTCAATATATTACTTGATGATTATAAAGATAGTATCAGATATTATCAGTAAATGCAGATAATATTAGAGAACAAAAATAAAAACATTGAAATACATATGTTTCTTAACTATTAAACATTTTCAAAGTTCTGTTTATTTTGTTACAGTTTCAGTTTTACTAAAGAATCTGCATCACTGGTCAACTTTATTAAGTCTTCTATATAAAATCAAAGTTGTACATGCATCCAACCCAGGTTTGATCTCAGCTCCACATGGCTTCCCAAATCACCAGGTGGACTTCTGGTAGAGTCTAACACTGAATCACTGGCCTTGCAATCTCATGATTTGGAAGACCCACACCCCAGAATGGTTAAGTATGCAATCACAAGATTAGTTTATAAAGAACTAATGCTTTTAAACAATTTGGAATGCATGCCTTGCATAAATTAAATCCCTGGTACTACAAGGCCCCTCAAGCATAGCTCACTGTTGTTCTGGTGTCCCTAGGGCACCAACAGGATGTCTCTGGTGGTCCCTAACACAGCCAGGATCAAGCAGTACCACATTGCTAAGTCTTAGCAATTAACCATTAGACTCTCACTATTGTGTTGAGTATAACTAGAAGTAATTCCCTAGTTCACTAGTGCAGAGATCCCAACAAAAGAAATTGAAAAAAATGCATGGAAGGGAAGATACCATGATCATAAAGGTGGCTTTCCCAATGAGGTTTAGCCATTGCATTCAAGTATACTGACCCCTGAGATTTCCCGAAATGTGGGAAACTCGACGTCATAATTTGTGGTAGGGGAGAATTACGTTCATGCTCTCCCTTGGTGTGTGGACGGAGAAGTTGAAAAACGTTTATATCTCATGGGGGGGAAAATGGACTTTTGAAAATTCCAATATATTAAGGGAGCTGGGGAGTAGCTCAGAGGTCAGGAGTTCATGCCTTACATGTTCAAGATTTTGAGTACAATTATAGACATCTCATGCATTGCTGGATTTGGTCTTGGAGGCCCCTGAGCACCGCTGGTTGACCCTATTGTTCCCCAAGCCCAGCAGGATAACCCTGGTGGTACACAAGATGGTCAGGCAAAATCAGTGCTGTACTTCTATGCCTGAGCAGTGAAATAAATGGCATACATCGCCAAGTAATAACAGAAGTGGTCTTTGAGATTCCTGAGCCCTTTGAGCATTCTTCAGCCCTAACTATGGTTGGGAGCACCCCTCCAAAAGTAGAAGTGATTGAAATTTTGTATATAGGGCTGAATGGAGTAGCATAAATATAATTTTAATGACTTTTTGATTAAAAATAATTTACAATAAAGTATTCATCTACTGAGCTTATATCGCTAGTACACCACACCTTTTCAAAGTGCTTATATCCCAGCATTTTCTCCATATTTCTCTATATCACTTGGACAATATTCCCAGTATCTTACTCTTTCTGCGTAACTAAGGTGCCAGGCCATTCATCATGTTGAGTTCTCGACCTAGGTACACATAACTGTTGCATCTGGAGATGTTCATTCCATTGAGAGCGAGTGGAAGATCAGGAACGAGTCTGTTTTTCATAAACATTGTCTTCGTGAGATTCAGCTATAGTCCAACCTTTCCACACTCACAGTCAAAGTCGGTTGGCATTTGTGCTGCTTGTCTAATGTTTGGTGTTGTGGAATGATGTCATCAGTGAAGTGAAGGTTGTATGGTTGCCGACCGTCTTTCTTCATTCCCATTCCTTCCCATTTCAGTCATTGCATGACGTTCTTGAGGGTGGCACTGAAGAGTTTTGGTGAAATGGTATCACCCCGCTGAACCCCTCTCTTGACATCGATGATTACTTGCTTGTAGAATGATGAGATCCTGGTAGTGAATCCATAATACAGCTCACAGAGGATCCTAATGTATTGAGTTTGAACGCCCTGTTTGGCTAGGGCTTCGATGACTGCTTTAGTCTCAACAGAATCAAAGGCCTTCTATTTAAATAAATGAATGTTAGACAGAGCAGCATCTTGAACTGCTGAGAAACCTCAATGAGCTTGGTTATTGTGTGGATATGGTCATTCGTGCTGAATTCTTTTCAGAACCCAGCTTGCTCGCATGGTTGTCCTTCATCTAGTGTTCTGCCAATCCTATTTAGGATGACTCAAGTGAACAGTTTGTAGATGATAGACAACAGGCAGATTGGGTGATAGTTGCCAATTTCATGGATGTCTCCCTTCTTGTACAGTAGAACAGTCCTGATGGATTTCCACTGGGATGGAATCTTGCATTCAGACAGGTAGCATATGAAGAGTTAGCCAGAGAATTGATGAGTACTGACAGCAGGTTCTTCAGCTGTGTGGGTCCAACCTTGTCTGGGCCAGGTGCTGTTCGCTTCTTTACCACCAAAATGGCATGTTGGATTTCAGAAGGAGAATGTTGGGAATGACATACACATCCTGCAGAATTTGGTATGTGGGCAGGTGAACATGGATAATGAAGATATCCGAGTAGAAATCATGGATAATCTTCTCCATTGCCCTTCTGAAAGATGTGATAGATCCATCAGGACGTCATAGGGCAGTCATCTTGTAGTTGGTGAAGACAGGCGGTTGTTGTGAATGCTTTTCCCAGCTTCTCCTGCATCTTCTTCTGCCAGCACTGCTGCTCTTCTCTCTTTGAGGTCTTTCTTGATCGCTTCTCTGCACTGCTTTGCGAGCTTGGATGTTCACTTGTGGTTGCCTGAGGTATGTGCCAAGCTATGTTGGTGAATGAGCTCGAGAGTTTTCGAAGATAGATGTCTTTTGGTGGCTATCTCTCTCAGCATTCCTTGCACAATCATGGAGGTGCTGAACCAGTGATCTTATTCTTCATCAATGTTGTCAATGGCAGCATCTTCCCATGTTGCCATAATAGTGCCAAAGAGCTCCCAGTTGGTGATCGTTCTCAGAGTTCTCTTCTTAAATTTTACAGCCCTTTCTCCCTGCTCCTTGAAGTAGAATTTTGCAAGAAGAGGACTATGGTCCGTTCTCATTTGGAATTTTGGGACAATAGCGACATCAGTCAGGCAAAACCATTGACTAAATATGATGTGGTCAATTTTGTTGTGGAATCGTCCACTGGGAGACTCCCATGCCCAACGTTTAGATTCAGCCTTCTGGAACTGTGAGTTACCATGGATGGTTTTGGTCGAAATGATGAACGCAGACAGTCTCTCACTCTGTTTGTTCCATTCTATGCCATGGGTCCCAATGTGGAGTTCCTCAGCTGATCTTCTGAGTCCTATTTTGGCATTAAAATCACTGACAATGATCCTATAGAAGGTGTGGTCTTCTTTATAGAACTTCTCCAGCTCCATGTAGAACTTCTCAATTTCTCCTTCATCATAATTGGATGTCGGTGTGTAAACAATGAAGATAGAAACTGCCTCCAGTGAGCCACATCTATTCAAGTGTAACCATCCAATTTGAGTTGTTAACATTCGAATGAATCAATGAATGAATCAATGCTCATGGCCAAGTTTGTATTGACAAGAACACCGACACCACAATGCCTCTTTTATTGCATGTTCCGAGGAACAGTCCTTCTCCAGTGTCAAAAATGGCCTGATGTGCTTGATGCTTTCTCATCTCAGTCAGAACAATGATGTCGTACTTGATCTTTTACACTTGCTCCATCAGGTCCTCCTCGATAGATGCATCTGATGCCAGCATATGTGCATTGAAAGTACAGACAGTCATTTTTGTCCTTCTTTGTTTTGGCAGCCTTATTCGGCCTTGAGATTTTATCAGCCTCTTCTTGCTCATCCTTTTAACACTGCCGTATTGGGGGCTCTTTAAGGGTCAGGGAAATAAGAACCACTGTATTTACTGTTTTTGGCATATTAAATATGCCACAGATAGCTGGCCAGTCTCTCCTGTGTGGGCGGAATAGTCTCAGTAGCTTGCAAGGCTCTCCGAGATGGATAGTGGCTTTTAGGGCAGCCTCTAATCACCCTTTCAGGTGCTCCCATGTTTCAAACCAAATTTGAACCCCATCAAATTGGTGCGGTAATCTTGGAAGATTGGTATTCAGTGTCTTATGATGTATCCTGTGGCCTCAAAGCAGCCCTGAGTGTGGCAGCTGCTAGGTAGTGGAGATAGTGTAGGTCTGCTGATAAGGTATTTATCTGGTACTGTTAGGGTGGGGCTTCTGAGTGTGATCCCTGTGTAGCCTGAGATTGGTGAGAGCAGGCAGAGGATCTCTGTTTCCGGTTTCCATTGAACCTGGACTCCAAGGTCACAAAGTTCTGTTATCTGGTCTGTATGGCTCCATGTGTGAATCTTGGCCTGAGTGTCTGGAAAGCAGCCTGGAGCATGGCAGTGGCTGGGTAGTGGAGGTACGTATCATTCCTCAAAATTCTATTGTTCACTAGTGAGATGAATCAACGGACTGGTGTGCAGATTTGCATGCAGTTCTCTGGAGTATTCCCATGGAGGCAGGGTCACTTAATTATTACTGAGAGTGACTCAATACTGTTTGTAACACACCCTGAATACTGCCAGATATTCTCCTCCTTACACCCCTCAAAAATATCTATTATAAGGACAATAGTGCATAGAATGAATGCTTAATAAGAAGTCTTTGGATCTGCAAATCCCTCAGAGGACAGAAAACAAATAAATTTATTGATCATTCTGGCACCAACTAATCTACAACCTATCCATTTATATATACTAATTTTTTATTCTTTTCTACCAATATAAACTGTTTTGTGTGTGCAGGGGGAGGGGTGTGGTATAGCGATAAAATGGTTCTCTAGGATGTGAATTCACTATCTTTCAACTTGCCTGTGTGTGGATAATAAAGGTCTTTCTCTGGACATAATTTTGCCCATGATTACTTGGCCCTCTGGAGCAGTTTGGAACTGGATCTCCATGGGAATATCAGCAATGATTAAAATTTAAAAAATTATAGATGATTAAGCTCTAACACTTCTGAATGCAACCATTTACAGTAACAGACTCTGGAATAGGTGATTTTAATATTATGTTGCCTTTACTTGAATGAAGGAAGGTCATGTATGTGACAGGAATATTTATTCAATTTGTGACTTGCAATAGTCAATTATTAAAAATACTAAAAAGCAGTGCTGCATCTTTAAATAGAAGTGGTAAGCTCTCCAAATGTGAAGTAAAACAAAACTCTTTGAATCAAATTATAAAACATGAACAATAAATGCTTCTAGGGCAGATAGCTCAAGTGGTAGAACACACGGCTGACATTATGAGCAGCTGCTGTGTCTCCTCCCGAAAGAACTTCACAAATTTAAAAGGAAAAAATTTCACACATCCAACACTTCAGTAATCTAGACCAGTGCTTCTCAAACTTTTTTCCAAACATGGCCCCCTCTGACCTTGTTCCTGCCTACAGCCCAACTGTCCTACAAAGTGGTCCGCTACTCTAATACTGTGCCCTTCCATTGATGATTTTCATTCACTGGCCCCCTGGGGATATCCTGGGATTCCACAGGGCAGTATAAGAACCACCCATGAGAAATGCTGATCAAGGAGCCAGAGTGATATTCCAGTGGGCATTTGTCTTGCAAGTGGCTGACCCAGATTCAATCCCCAGCATCCCATATTGTACCCCAAGCACTTTCAGGACTAGCTCCTGATTACATGAGCCAGGAACAACCCCTAAGCATAGCTGGGTATGACCCAAAAAAGAAAAGAAAAAAAAAGAGAGAAATGCTGATCAAGACCCCCTGCTATTCTCCACAGTTCTTCAGAGCTTAAAAATACTGGTCCATAGATGAGCATTTCAAGTTCTTTCAACAATTTGGTATAAAATTTGCCTTAACCTGGTAA